AACTATGTTATTGGAGATAAATACAAGTGGGTCGGTTAGAGGTGGATTGATTTTTTTTCCTAATCTGGCCGAACCCCTCTTCTCCTTCTTCTTCTCTACTTTAACCTAGAATCGAATAGGGATTTTACATGGTATCAGAGCAATAAAATCTAGTTCTCTTTTCCCTTTTTTTCTTCTTTCCTCACTGTTTGTTTTCTTCCTGGGTTTGCCGCCAACCATTTCAGCTTTCTTCGATTTTCTTCTAGCCTGAGTGGAAGCTTGACAAGAGGCCAAAAAAGGAGTAGTCGTTTTGAGGTTTTGGAGGTGAGTATGCCTCCAGTTACTATGGTGGTGGTCGTTGAGGTTATATACTAGATGCCCTCTATTCTGTGATACGAAGAGGGCTGTTTGTGGATAGGTATGAACAGTTATGTATTTTTTTGCCTAAATAGTGGACTATAAATGCCGTATTTCGGTTCAAAATATTTTTTTTGTGGAGGTTTAAAGTGACTAGTATGCATATCAGCCTTGTTCTCCTCTATTTTTACCTCATATGTGTGTTGAAAGTAGGGTTTTTCGACTACTAAAGTTCACGACAGCAGTGGTGTGGTGGTGGTTGTACGGTGTTGAATGGTGTGTGGATGCTTCTGAATAGTTGAAAGTGAAACCTTGTGTCGTGTGGTGGTGTTTATACTGATTTCTGTGTTTGATTTAATGATTGAGTGATTTCAGCTTTTGTATTTGATGTGCAATGTGTATTTGAAGAAGTTGGTGGTGTTGAAAGTGAGATAAGTTTTGTGGAAGTGTGTGAGGTTGTGCTGAATATTTGAAGGTGAATTAGTTAAGATGACATCGATTGGAGATGGGAATGACAATAAAACAAGCATTATGATTTCTCTAGATCACCTAAATGTTCAAATGCCATCTATTAAGTTGAATGGTGAGAATTATGTGCCGTGGGCAAAATCTGTGGATGTGTTTTTAAAGGCTAAGAAAAAAGTAAAACATGTGAGAGAGGAGAAACCCTCCTCTGATTCTCCGGGGTTTAGTGACTAGGAACAGGAAGATGCATAAATAATGACATGGCTGTGGAATAGCATGGAACAAAAAATTAGCGTGAACTTTATGTTCCTAGATACAACTAAAGAAATATGGGATTATGCTAAGAAACTGTACTCCGGACAAGACAATACAACTAGGGTGTATCAGTTGTACCAAGAGTACTTTAATCTGAAGCAAGACAGTCAAAGCTTGGACGAATACTATGGAAGTCTGAGGAATATCCGAAATGAGCTCAATGTGTATCATCCTCCGACATAGGATGTTCAGATTCAGCAACAACAGCGTGGGTAACTTGATGCGACAAGGTTTTTAGTGGGTTTGAAGGCTGAATATGAGCCTGTCTGAGCACAAATATTGGGGGGGTCTACTCTTCCCTTAAGTTTTTGCTCGTCTTAGGAGGACATCTATTGAGTCTATAGAGCATTCTTCTCTTTCAGACAGATCTGGTTTTGTGGTGACTAGAGGGGGAGGCCGTGGAAATAGAGGTGGTGGTGGTGGTCGTGGACTTCCAGGTAGCCGTGGTGGTCCCATGTTTAACCATGCTGGTGGCCGGAGTGGAGGTTGGGACTCAGGGGGAGGTCGTGGTAAAGGAAGAAGTAATGCCCCTAGGAAGTGTACATACTGTGGATTAGAGGGGCACACG